TCAATCCATCTGCTAAAAAAGTTAAGAAATACAGAACTGCATTTAAAAAGAATATCAATTTTTAAAGATAAGATATTTCAGAAGACTAACAAGCAATTCAAATTTCTAATATCTATCTAACTCTCTTCACTTTTCTCTCATAGACTGGCCTTTCTTTATTTGCACATGTTTTTTTAATTTCATAAGTTTCTGATTGACAATACCTCTGCGGAATATTTAGACCAACTCTTCCAACAATTAATTGGCATTCCAATGGACACCAATTGCTTATAAGCAGACCTTTTTTTGTACTTATACGAAGAAAAATCTAGCTATTCTTAATGTATACACAGGAAGACACTTGTTTTGCCCCTCAATTTAACTTTTTGATAAATATTGAATACGTGTTATCCATTAACAATAAATATTTCAATTCATATTATTATCGACATGATATATCCCGGTGACATTGAGATTGAGTAAAACACAGAGTCTTACACAGCTGGGCCGGGTTTCACAAACTATCGTATGATTTGTCCTAAGATAGATCTTAAGATCATCGTAAGAGGGGACTTATGACAATTATAAGATTTGTCACTGCTGTTTCACAAAACTTTTTTAAGTGTAAGAAATCATAAGATAAGTCTTACGGCAAATTCTATTCTTAAATATCACAGGAAATAATTTAAAAATATGTTTGCACAAAGTTTAGTTGTATTTCTATATTTTCTGTGAAATATTGAGATAAAAGTGTGTCGTTGAAGATATACCCTCGGATGAAAACATTTTATGGCATCAACCTTAATGTACTTAGTGTATGTGTGTTGGCGGTTGGGGTCATCAAACTAAATCTGAATTAATTTCCTCACAAGAGAAAATCTTGAATAAAAATTTGCTTATATGTCTTTTTGCTGAGAAAATAGTAGTTGCAGACGAAATGTATGCGATACAACGTGTATTTATTATAAAGCTACTAGTGTATCTGAACCTTTGCAAATAATGAATGATTTTAGGAATGAATCCTTTTGAAACACCAAATCGTGTTCAAAGTTCGTTCATAAAATTTGATGGAGATGTCTCTGAAACGTTTCAACTACTGCAACAAATAACAATGCTTACAGATGAAGAAGAGGAATAAAAGAACAATTTCCATTCAAACAGTTTCAATACTATTGAGAAAGCATGTGCACACAGCATCAAATGTTACAACAGATTAAGTTTTCTTACACATTCCAGTGAATTAATGAGGGATACCTCAAGAAATAAAACTATTTGATTTTCATTTAATTTTGTACGACTGAATAAAATGCATGTTTACTTTCAAATATCTAGAAAAAAAATCATCACAATGTAGCAGAATAAAATAAAGTAAAACTTCTTATAAATGCAGGGTAGCTTCACAGAAGTTATTTTTTTAATTTTCATAGACTCATTCAATCCAAAAAATGCACATGTTTCATATTTTTATTTATTCAAAGTATATTTAACCCAACAATAGATAAACTACATGTATCTCGAATTACGTTGGCCATTTTAAATAAGTTAGCAATGCTTGGTCATAGATATTGTGATATTCTTGCGGGGTATTGAGTTCAAATTAAACAACTGTGAATGAAGTTTTATGCGATATTTGGATCGTACACACACACATGTACAACATAAGATAAGATATATACATGAAGCATCGGGAGAGGGAGGGGGTGCAATATCAGTAGGGGGTAGAACCAAAGAAAAATGCCTTGAAATGAATAAAGGGGAAAAACCTATGGGTAGATTTTAGGTTTTTTTCCGTATATTAATTGGCTTTTTGAATGTTCCGACTGGCCTAATACATTCAAAATGTTTGTTCTATCTCTGAAAACCGTTTTCTTTAAATATCCTTCAGTTTTTAGCCAAAAGATACACTGTCGCCAGTTTCACTTTAGACTTAAGACATATGTATAAAGTTGTCTTAAGATTTTGGCAGACCTTAAGATTATCATTAGATATGACAGTTTTTGGAAACGTCTTTGGTGCAAGCTTGAGATAATTTTCGGCCTTAAGGCAGATTTTAGTCATAAAATAAATTTATGAAACGGGTCCCTGATTTCTATATTTTGAATGTACAAGTGAGCTTGAAAACAATTTATTATCCATATATTTCAACATCAAGTTACACAAGTTAACGTTGAAATGAAGACCATCTCAAAATATCCTGTTCTAGCAAAGGAGCTTAGGATGAATGGTCATTAATCCAAGGGCACTCTTGGATGAAGTTTAAGCCACAAGGGACAAAGAGTGACTTGTTTCAAGTCCCAGGGTTTCTAGACTTTAATTATGCAATTCCCCCTTTATTTTAGCATTCCCATCAAGCTCCGCATAAGAAGAGGAACTCCAGACCCCTTTGGCTTTAATGTTCTCTTCTAATTCAATTCCACAGGCACTTGTTTCGGAACTAAATTTTTAACCTGTAGTTTAATAATAACACAAGGTATCTAACTCCGAATTACACTCAGTACCCCCCTCCTCAGAAACGCACTCATTTACACTTACAGATTAAATGCACTGGCAAACTTTTATTACCATTGTCTTCTAAGAAAATTTATCTACACAACCATATATGTATGGCACGCCAAATTCACAAAAATGAGATAATCATAGTTTCACAATTGATAAACTAGGTTTATCGACTGTAAACTATAGTTTACAAACCGTAAACTATAGTTAACGATTCGTTAAGTATAGTTTTCATCTGTAAAACTATATTTAACGGTTGTTAACTATAGTTTACGAATGTTAATTTAAGTTTATCTGTCTGTAATAAAGTGTTAAAAATAGATTTTGTTGATAAACATAGATTCACGTTTGTAAACTATAGTTAACAAATCGTGAAACTGTATTTATCAGATAATCTACTAGTATGTTTTGCAATCGCAAATGATTGTTTTCGGTGTTAAGTATAGTTTACGGTTGTGAAACACAGATTATGGTGTTAACTATGGTTTACAGATGTGAAATATAGATTAACGTTGTTAACTATAGTTTATGGTTTGTAAACTATAGTTTACAACCGATAAACCTAGTTTATCGATTGTGAAACTATGATTATCTCATTTTTGTGAATTTGGCGTGCCATATATATGGCATGCATGTTTTTGTTTTCATTTAGCTCCGTAAACAACGTCAAAACTCTGCACGCCGAGAGGAAAGTCGAACTCAACCACGAAACGGTATGTGGTAATTTCGGGCAAAGAGCAAAATTTCAAAAATGAGTGTGTTAAAAATTCAATTCCAGATTTAAAATATTGCCCTGAATAAACAAGAAATCTGTGAGCCAATGCTCACTAGTAATACCCCGCTATGATGTGGAAATATAATATCATGTTAATAAACGTTACGGGTATATGCACGGAAAATTTGATTTTGATATCAGATTCATATGAAAATGAATCGCATCATACAACATGCCTCAACAAAGTATGTACTTAAATTTCAAGCATCTGTATTGAGCACAGCTGAGAAAACTGCGACAAAGATTTGTTAATTTATGAAACATACAGATGCACTATCAAACAGGAAGTTGACATCGGATCTGAACAAGATTTAATCCCACCATAAAGCATGCCATATTAACGAGTGTGCTAAAATGTCAAGCATCTGTGATGAGTAGTTGCTGAGAAAACTGTGACAAAAATTTGTTATGCATGAAACATATATGACAGACAGACGCACGGACGAACAGGAAGTTGTCATTAGATTTGAACGAAAATCAACCCCACCATACGGTATGCCTCAGAGAAGATTGTGTCAAAATATCAAGCATCTGCAATGAGTAGTTGTTGAGAAAACTGTGACGAAAATTTGTTATGTATAAACACATGTCTGAAATGGACAGACACACAGGCCAACAGGAAGTTGACGTCAGATTTGAATAGAAATGAATCCCACCATACGGCATGCCTCAAAGAAGATTGTGTTAAAACCAGAATCTGCAATGAGTAGTTGCTGAGAAAATTGCGACGAAAAATTGTTATGTATGAAACGGACAGACACACGGATAAACAGGATGTTGACATTGGATTTGAACAAAATGTATCCCACGATATAACATACCTCAGAGAGGATTGTGTCAAAATTTCAAGCATCTGCGATGAGTAGTTGCTGAGAAAACTGAGACAAAAATTTGTTACGGACAGACAGACGGAAAGACGGACAGACACACAAGGGTTAAACAGTATACCCCCCTCTCCTTCGGAGCGGGGGTGTAATAAAATTTTAATACGTCTCATTTTAGATACCTTGTGTTACTAGTATTATTATGTTATAGGTTAAAAAATTATTTCCGAAACAAGAGCCTGTGTTTAATTCTTAGGGACAACCCTGCAAAGGTGGAAAAATAAAAATACCAAAGTAAAGTTTGAGCATAGCAGGTCCAAGGTGAAAATATGAGGATTTCATCTTTGATATCTGATCCAAAAACTTGGTTCAAGGTCAGTGCTCAAACGATATCCCAGGATATTTTTTGAATGAAATTAGAAATTGGAAAGACAAGTGCTCTTGACAATGATTTCCCAAAGACGGGTTTTCTTCAATATTTGATATCTGAGCGAGAAAATAGGTTGAAGGTAACTATTCACTCTTGACTCACGGGCACACTACATGCAAGGTTGGAGAGAAAAATGTCCTGGAAAAAGTTTTCTACAGTTTTCTATTGAAATAGGTCTAATAACACTTTTCTTTCAAACTGAATAATAAGTATTAAAACCAATTTAGATTTAAATGAATTATTCTAGCAAGTGCTAACAATCAAAACTCCAATTTAGTGATGTAGTGTTGACTACGGTGAATGAACTAATTCTGTAAACAGGACTAGAGCTCGGTTATTGTCCATGTTTGCGTTTCATCGGGTGTGTTCAATCTGCACACAACACTGAGCACGGACTGACAAAATGGTGAGTTGGTTTTGCTTTCTCACATCTCTACTCTGGTTTTCCGTATTTTAAATAGTTTTAGTATTTTTCATAAATACGCAACAAAATTTCTACTTTTCTTAAGTACATGTATTAAGAGTAAAGTTTTCTGTGTGAAAGTAAAAGGTCATGTCAATCAAATTCGTCTCGAAACTCGTACTTTCAATAATTTAAAGATATAATAAGTTTCTGAACACACTTTTATAATCTTTTCATGTGAAATTCTATAAGTCATGATATTATGCAGAAAACTTGAGAAAATATTGACTTCAAATCTGTGTCTAAACCCTTTTAAAAATGACTTGAAAATAAAAAATCATCCTATCATTACACTCTAAGCAATAAAAAAAAATACAATCTTACAGAAAAATAAACTTCAATAATAAAAAGAAATGGAAAAAAAGTTTTTGGAAAAGAATAAAAAGATTCCTTAGATAAATTGTGTTGAGTCTTTTCTTTATTTCTCTAGGGATCTCCCCGCCATGATGTATTGTAGAATCTGGCGTTCACGAGTACGTACCAATTCCTTTTGCACATAAGAATCTAAAAAAAAATTAGTGTTTAACTTTAATAGAAAAGAAATGTGTTCAAAATTATTTGAGATATATAGTTGAATTTCAAATCATTTATGTAATAAACTATTTCCAGGCTTACCTTTACGTTTTCTTTTGCAAAATTGAATTAAGCGCCACGGAATGACGTAGTCAAGGTTTGCCAGTGTCCTGCGCCTGAAGTCCTTAATCACGTGGTACCTTTCATATTGCCAAATAAGTCCAGATTTCTTCAGAACTTTTTCATAAGTTGTCCTGTTTTGAAATTTAAATTTTATTATTACACCTGTTGTATATTTCCAACTTATAAAAATATCCTGGAAAAGTCAATATTCTTCTTGTTCAATCTATAAATGAAAAAATTCGGAAAGTGACACAGGAGGCTTCATATAGACGAAGGTAATAGTAAAAGACCTTTGAAAGGGGGTTATAATCAATATTATTATACTTTCATGTTAAATACTAAAATCTGGTTTAGACGCAGTTAACAATCCGTTCGATTACCCTGAGCCTTAGCAACACACGGGACAACGGGTAACACAACGTTAATGCCACATGCGTGGAAATTATGCGCGTACGGTTCACCGTAGAATTCTCAAAACGTCAGTTGCGCGTTTGAAAGAACCGGAATTAACTTGACGTCAATAAAAGCTTGCGTCCGATATAGCTTACTTGAAAACAAGTAACAGCTTTTTAAAAAGCTTGCCTGACTAAATCAATCAATTTATCTGCATGAAGAGTGATAACCCTTTTGAGCAATACTTTGTGGGTTTAAAAAAATATCCTAACTTTATATTTGAGAACCTTATGTAATTGAAATCTTGATTTTACTGAACTTGTAGAAGAATCATCTCTACACTGCATACTAAAAAACTTTGTAGTTGAAGAAGGGGGGGTGCAAGTGCCAAGTGGAGTGATCTGCCCTTGGATCTAAATTGATTTCAGGCTACATTGTAACACCTATTATAAAATCTGTTATCAAATCACGCATTTTGAACATTTTAAAAGATGGATATAATTAAAAACACATTTTGTTGGAGTGTATTTCCTCCTATGAAGTAAACAGTAGTAATGTGTGTTCATTATTTTTTTCTTAAAAGGGGAGGGGGATATGACACTGTCATATAATACAAGATATATTGAGAATGAAATAAGTAAATTCAATAGTTAGGCTTTGTAGAAAGAAATATCCAAGATTATTCACTACTTTCTTATTTATCGTGTGCATCTGAACAAAGACATATGATAGATCATGCATCTGGAGACGATGTTGTTTATTACTATTGGACTCGTCCATTTATGGAATAAACCAGCCGCGGGATCGGTAAACAAATTAGAAACATCATTTCTTTAGTGTTACATGTCTTTTAAAGAATGGTATAAAACTTATAGATAGAATTTCTGAAGCATTAGAAGGAAATTAAAAGGACAAACTTTATTTAATTCCATAGAAGTTAGCACACCCATTCATACAATAGAACAATCCAAGGAAAAGGCGCGAAGATAGCTTACTAGTGACATTTGGCGCGAAAATAAGCGATTCACCCCTTTCGTAGAATATAAATGGACTGATCCAGTAGTATAGAAATGCAGAAAAAAAGGATACACGGACATGTTGAAACTGCAAATCATACGGAATAATCTGTTCCATGCAAAAAGATTAATGGGAGTAAACACTGCAGTAGTTCGCATCAGTTATATCTTTCTTTTTTCTGAAAACTGTTTCTTTTAAATTACAGGTAAAGAATTCCAATGTAAATCAGCTTGCACAAAATCTAGCTCTTTAGATATGGTCGCACATTTTCGGATCTTGGAAATATCAATCCTTATACTGCCTGACGCCGTGACGTCAGGCAACAATAAACGACAGACGATACATGCTTGCGAGTGTAGGAAACATGCTTGCGAGCCAGAAATAACGAAACTTTATATGATAAATGACTCTAATTCGAGTATCAAACGAACAATAAGGAGATTAGCGAACCGGTGAGTGTGAAAGCTTTCTATACATGAACGTAAAGACGATCGACGGTTTTTTTTTTGCTGACGTCCTAAATCAATAAGACATTCAGTATAATAAAATAAATGGTGCCTGTTTTTGAGGGAAACATTTGAAATTGACACCCCTCGGAAAACCAGTGTCAACCTCCGCTGACGCGTCGGTTGACAATGGTTTTCCTTGGGGTGTCAATTTCAAATGTTACCCTCCAAAACAGGCACCATTTATATAATATATATGTAAATATAAACCATTAGAGGAAGATTTTTATTTAAATTTGTAATAAAACCTGAGGAGATATAAAAAAGGTAAGAAACAGTAATGAAGCCAATAGGGACATCTAAAACAGACTTAAAGGAGTACTCACGTAAAAAGGGCGACAATAACATTAACGATGAGGAGATTCCCAACCATCATGTGTATTGCTGCTAATGCTTTAACACTCCAATCCACTTCTAAAAATAATTTATTAAATCTTATATATATATCTGTATCAAGTACCTAATATTTTAAAATTTGAAGTTTTTTTTTCATTCATTAAGGTATGGGAAAGGCATTAAGAGAACACGACTTTAAACAAGTTGTGTTTGCGAGACACTATGTCCCTGGTGGTAACACAATTCTGGAGTGGGGCGTAGGATGAAGTGGTATACACTTGTTCAAATGTAGGACAAAGGTCACAGTGAAGATCACGTGATCAAAAATTTCTTTACCAATGGAAAGGTCTTGTCATAATGAACACTTATGTCAAATATTAAAGCCTTACTCTTGACAGCGCGATAGTTATGAACTAGGTTAAAGTTGACAACAGACAGACAAACAGGACAAAAACAATACACCCCCGGGATCTTTCGATCCGGGGGCATAAAAAGTTTGTTTTCTCATTAAAATTCACATCACAGGAAATTCAAAATATAAATGGAACTTGCATACCAGAAAGAGAAACTACAGATGACGCACCTTCATTGCTTTTCTCTATTCCAAGTGCATCATCAAACGTTTCTCCATAATACTGGTAGAAGGGATAGTAAATGATACGCCAGATTCGCCAGTCGTACCATTTCCCAGGAAACAAATCTGGTTGGTTCCGGTGGATCATAGCCTCAATAAAAATTCCTACCCCCAGCACAAAGAATGCAATCGTAATTAAGAACTGCACCAGATTTAGCAGCTGAAAATAAAAACTGAGAGTTTAATTTATATATGTCCAGCATATAATTGTGCTTAATCTATGACATGTGACCTAGGGCAAGAATAAACATTGCAAATTAACACTACTTCGATCGATCGCTTTTATCAGTAGAGCCCCGCCCTAGCGCCAAAACCCCTGACCCTGTGGCCAAGAATTTCACAATTTTGGTAGAGGGCTCAAAGCTTATTACAATTAGCCAACAGTTTTAAAGATTGCATTAACGAGGCTGGGGTGTGGCAGCCATTTTTAGACTATTTCGATCTCCTTTAAAAGAAGAGCTCCATATAAAGATATACAAAAATGGTCAAAATTTAAAATTAAAATTTATGATTTTTTTCTTTGCCAAATGAATGTTGACAGCTAAAGATACCATATCTAAAAAAATAAGTTAAATCTTGTGGTTAATTTGTGTTTAAATTGTTGACCCCCCAGCCTCCTTAATTTTAGTGGTTTTAGCTCCACCCTTCAGACCCCAGCTAGGGAACTGGGGTCATGAAATTGATAATTTTTGTTCCCCTTTACCCATAGACGCTATATGTCAAAATTGGTTGAAATTAATTAAGCAGTTTCAGGGAAGAAGCTGAAAATGTTCAAATATTAACACAGGACGGGCGATGGACGACGACAGACGAATACACAGTGATTTAGGTAACCTAAAAAGTGGCAATATCAGAAACATGCAGCTATTTTATCAACATCTGTTACTTTCAAAGCATTTGATGGTAACAATATAAATGGCAGGTACAATTTGTAGCATACAATTGAAGAAACATTGGATCAAATTTAAAATTCTAATTCTCAGATTTTAACTCCTCTGTTTTCTCAGATGTCCACTTCAAATTAATCGCGGATATCCGAAAAACCATTACGTTTTAATTACGTTGCAATTTTATAACGGAGTTTCACGTTTACTTTAATTGCTTTTGTGTGTAACTCCAAGTAGAAAATGACATGACTAAATGTTGAAGTACGTACGATAACTACAATATTTTGTTTTATATCACGGAAAAACTTATCTTAAACCATGGTTTTATGTCGTAGCTTTTCAAGAAACTTGACTAACTTAAGCAATCAATATTTATTGTGAGTATTACGTATACGTGGCAAATCCTTTTTTTTTCATGCAGGCGTGTGTCATTTTAAACGAACAGAAAATCAGGATCTGTATAGGTCATTGAACTTGTGGTTTGAAAAGATAGTTTTGAAAGATGACAATGTTTGTTTCAGAAATATTGCGTCTGGGTCCAGAAGTCAAGTTATTAACAAAAAGTTGTATTTTGATATGAAGAGAAATACTCAGTACGTATTCAAATAATCAAATACAGTAAGATAATAGTAAGATAAATAATAGTGCCAAAATCGGGAATAATGGGTTCAAGGAGACGTCTACTACTTCTAGTTCACAAGTCAGGTAATTACAGGGATCCGGGTTTTTACCTGTTCACGATTTGCTTTCTTCATAGCATTTGTGAGAATAATCGTTTTCTTTTGAATGACCATTTGCATGAAGGCAGGAATTTACTAAATTAGTTAAATTAGTTAACCTTTAAAGATCAACCACTGTTCGTTATCTTCAACTTTTTCATCTTGGTTTTTTTGATCCCATTCTTCAGGCAAATAAATAATTTTTGCTATCATTTAAAAAGAAACAGAAGACTGGACTCTTTACTTCTTTCTGAGTTTTTTGTTCATATTTTTCAGAGAAGGTCTGCAGTAATAATAAAACTTGGCAAACTACAGACACAAAGAATGGGAACAAGGGATACTTGGCTTCCTAAATAAACATACACCTGTATTTATCATCCTCGCACTATTCCACTTGTTAACTTAAATAAGCTTTCTTACATTATGGTTTTCTATAATGTAAATGTACAGTGTTTTTCGCTTTTGTCAATATATTGCAGTTCTCAGTTTAGCTTGGACTTTCAGAATGGTGTGGTATTCTCGGCGCTACGTAATGGCGAATAGTAGTAGATTTTCATTGGTTAAGAAATTAATAACATCAGAAACTTTGAATTGTTGTTGTCAACTATGAGACGACTTATGTCCCACCTCTGTGCCGTGAAAGAACTTTTAATTGGCTATTTGCTACACCAGTTGACTTTCGGTCGAATTACTATCCTATGTATATTTCAACAGTGAAGGAAAGCTGTCAGAAGCTAATTAGCTAACGTCGAGAATGCCATGCCTTACTTACAGTCCAAACTAAGCGGCATATGGTCCTAATTTCTCGTCGTCGGTGTGTGCTTTTATAAGAAAAAAAATCACTTTAACAATAATGATCTTAGACTTTCTAAAGATCCAATTCTTTATAAAAAAAAACAGTTGTTATCAATTTTAAACAAATATATATTAAAACTTTACCAACCATATGTTTTAGAAAAAGGAAGGTGATTCCCGTGTACTTGTGAATGACAAAAACACGCATGTACCGAAGGTACGAGAAGAGCAGTAAAAGGGCACACCAGCGATTCGCCATTCTGAAAGTCTTGGTTGGTTTGCGTCTTGACATTACAGTACTAACAACAAGAATGGCACAAACGAGTCCCAAAAGCTTCCACATGTCATTTAATGAAGAAAGAAATCTGTATCTGCCTTTCCTCCTTGTTTCTGTTCTTCTCCAAAACACGCCCTAAAATATAAGTAGTAATTTAATGCCATTCTCAGTTATTGCTCGCCATTTTTGTTCCCTTTTGCAAGGCTTTACTGTGACATCAATATACTTGTTTTTGTTTTATATAAAAATTATATAGATCAAACATACACTTTAGAACATGTCAGGGATACTCTATCATACTGTCACTTGATTTGTGAACATCATCTAATTTTTGGCATAATTTGAAGTCTTTGATATACAGGCCAGGGGCATTTTTAAAAAGTTCTGAGAACAGTTTGCTAAACCGATTCACGGAAATTAATAAATTTGATACCACTGAAAATTGATGGAAAATTTGCACTCTTTTGATGTCTCTTTCTCATTTTATGACGTACGAGTATATAATAACTCCTAAAATGATGTCAGAATGTTGAATGTCTAGCATACTGAAATGTCGTGTTTTTGTCTACACAAGAACATAGAAAAAGTGGAGGTAGAGTAAGACTGAAAGAATGGTACTGCATATCAGCATTCCATTTGATCGTTAGTTTATAAGCACGATATACGAGGGTTGTTCGATATGTATATTGTACCACAGCGCGATAACGCCTTGCACGATTTCGTCGATATTTATACGCCTGGATAACTCTATTCAATACCTTGCCAACAGTATAAACACGAGCCTTCATCTACACATGGTTATAAAATAATCGTCATTTCAATAGAGCTAATCGTTGACCACTGTTGTAAAAATGGTTGGGAAAAGGGTTGAGAATATTGAAGAAATTAGAACTTATATAAAAGTTCGCACAAAACTCGGTAATTCGGTAAAGCAGTTTTTTACTGAATTGGGGGAAGTTTATGGGTCTGATAAGGTGTCTTATGAGACAGTTCGTAGGTGGACAGAAATTTCTGACTGGCACAGAGTCCGTCAAAGATGCAGCAAAATCGGGTTGACCTGTGACTGTATCAGGCAAGACAAATGTCTCAAAAGTCAAAGAAATAATTGAAAGTGATGGCAGGTACACGATTCGTGATATTGCCAAAGCTGTTGGCATATCGCTATCGCGGGTGCATTTCATTTTGAAGCGTATTTTGAAAGTACGAAAGATTTATGCCAGATGGATACCCCATATATTGACAGATGACCAAAAAAAGGTACGAATACAAACCGCTAAGCGACTGCTAAAAATGTTTCAAACTTCAATCAAAGACAATTCGCAAACATAGTTAGTGACGAAACATGGGTTCACTATTTCGAACCAGTAAGAAAAGTTGGAAACAAATTATGGCTAACCAAAGACGGTAGAAGGCCTGTAGTTGCCAAAAGGACAATGAGCACAAAGAAGGTCCTTTATTGCATATTCTTCTCTTGTGATGGTTTAGCCGTACAAATTCCGGTGCCGAAGGGCAAAAGTGTTACAGGTCGGTATTACCGAGATGTTGTACTGAAAAACCTCAAGAAATATTATCAGAAACGACGTCCTGTGTCGGGATTTAGGCATGTTCGCCTTCTTCATGATAATGCTCTATCACATACATCTGAGCTTGTGAAGCAATTTTTGAAGTCTGAGAAGGTTACCGTCTTGCCACACCCACCATACTCTCCGGACCTAGCACCATGAGACTTTTTCCTTTTTCTAAACTTAAAAAGTTCTTATCTGGTCGTCGATACAAGTCCCGACAGGCCCTTGGCTCAGCCGTCAGTCAGTGCCTCAGAGGTATACCTAAATCAGCGTACTGTGACGCATTTCAGAAATGGATTCAGAGATTAAACTTGTGTATTTCAAATCACGGAGAATACTTTGAAGGGATGTAATGTCCATTTGACTATTTGAATCGAATGCTTTTGAGATATCGTACAATATACAATACATATCGAACAACACTCGTATATGTCAGGTTATGCTATCATAGGTATATTATTCCCAGCTAATTCACTCTGAATTAGCTGCTGTTATCGAAGGAAGTGCATAAATTACTTACCAAAATATCTGTACTTATTCTTGGTGATTATCTTTCCTTTCAAATAAATTTTAGTTGTCAGATCATTACCCCTTTAACCTAAACACTTGAGGTCGCTTTGGTTGCAACTTCCTTTTCCAATTTTTCAGCATCAACTTAGTTCGGTAAAAATTTGTCCTCTTGTTATTGTATATTATTAATTTCAAACACCCACCATCACACCCAAGTAGAAGAGATCAACTTTTGTTTTTGTATTTTCAGACGAAGACACGTCAACTGCAGATATCAACCCTGACACGTCTAAACCTAAACAGTACTTCAACACATAGAACTTTTGAGATGAAACTATTGTCTTAGGGAAAAGCTAAGGGGATCGAGTCAGAAGTAACTTTTCCGACTCACAAAATGTTGGACTTTCGAGAGATTGAATGTAAATGTGACATGAGGAACAGCTAAGTTATTCTTTGGTCCAACTTGCAGGCCTCAAGATACGGAAGTTATTCATTCCAAGAGCAAATCATGCACCATTTCTGCAGTAGCCAATATTTTTTTCTAATAATGGGGATTCATAAAATCTGGTACGACTGTCCGTTTGTTTTCCAGATGAGATGTGCATATCAGTTTCTTTTCCAGCTAAAACAGCGGATATAAGTAACTTTCCTTATACACAGTGATGTAACGCCTGAAAGTTTGAACTTTGAATCTGAATATTTTATGATGTAGCCTAATCCTGCCTTTGTTTTGTTGCCAGAGACACCAATTTGTGTCTCTGAATACACAGCCGTACCTAAATTTTGCCGAAACCATGCACATATCTGAGATAATAATAAATAACTTCAATTTTTCGTGAAAATAAATACATCTTACTTAACTGCCACTACCTGTAATAAATTTCTTTTTGAGAAGTTGACCAGACGATATTTTTTTGTTTTCGACGGGGCGTTCGATATTGAAGGCTCGTATTCGGAATGTTTCGGGCAAACTAATATACGTAATAAAAACTCGGTGTTCGATAAAACACCAAGATATTGAACGCCAAAATTCTGTAGACTTTTAGTATTTTGGAAGACGTGTTATACTAAATTTACATGTACACAAGGAATCTTCAGTCTACCTGATTGATACATAGGGTTCACGGCGGGTCTGACCGGTCAATAGGGGATGCTCACTCCACCTAGGGCACTTATCATTTCTGGAATTTCTGGGGGTCCGTGTTTTATGCTCTGATCAAGATTTGTATTGTTTGTAGATTTTTTAAGAACACTGTTCGTTATCTTCATCTTTTTCTTTTTAAACATCGATTCGTAGTCCGACATATACTAAGTAATGTTTTGTTTTGAAAATCATCCATCCATTTCATGGATATTTTGGAGACGCATGCAAGATCAAAGTTCCTACATCAAACTGAACGATGATGAACAATTTTAATCATTATATGTAGAAAAGAGAAGGGACAGGACTTAATTTCAGTTTGTTTGTTTTTTGGTTTGCTGTTGAACGCCCCTCTAGAGAATTTTTTACTCATATGGAGACGCCACCACCTGCCGGTGGAGAGCTATAATTTTGATACATGTAAATTGTTGTGAGTAGAAGAATTTAAAATAAGACAGAAAATGTTGAATAAACTCGTAAACAATACTATAATGCCAATTATGTCATTGAAGAAATCTAAGCCTGTCCAGATGTAGAGGCTGAATTCAAACAGTAGAAGAACCCAAGACATGTCCTCATATCTCTTCAGGGGGGTCAGTACGACATAGCTGTACATCAGGAGGATAATCCCAAAGAAAAACTGAAAAATAGGTTTAAAAAATCATAATACAAAGCACTGGTACAAGGTACAAAGCACTTTACTAAACTCTGATGTAGTAATACTAAGTATGTGAAAAGCAACATACTAAACACTAGAAATAGGTATAAAGAAGTCTCACGATATATATATATCCATTTTTCAGTGAAAGCGGGGGACAATAAATTAAAATGTTATCAACTATTATAAAAATTTGCTATGGTTCTCATAAAAGTAATCGTCTTTTAGAAGATTTCTTTTTATATGAACTATCTTGATATTTGTATGAAATATGCTCTGAGAAAAAAGACTGACTTATGAATTAGGAAATGATGGACAGATTGATATATCTATCACTTCGAGATTATTTAAAGATTTATTGATTACCAACCAACTTAAAGTTTGATTTTACATACGTAATGTAGAGCAAAATGGAAACAAGGGGCACCTCCTGAGACATAAGGTTGTTTCTAAAAAAAAAACACCAAGTCTTAGTACTAGCATATCAAGTAATATTTCCATTGTTATGCAACATTTATATCTACCGAATCACTAAATTCAGCAAAATCAATAAGCCAAAAAAATCTAATGAAGAAAGAAACAAGAGGCCCATGGGCCTTATAGGTCACCTGAGCATCATGCATCATGCAACAACTTTACAACGATTGACTTTGGTTCATGTTTTAAACTAGACGTTATGGCATTTACAGTTTTGAAAGAGGCACCATTGTTGCTAATTATAACTATACACTTAGCATGTTTAGTTTGGTTACCTAATACGCATAGACAGAGTAGGGGAACAAAAAAATGCATTTCAACAAATCAGTAATATTCAGCAATAATCAGTATAGTGCCACTACCACACATGAATCCCTTACCCTTGTTCCACACATTTTACAATTTGGAAAAGGCATCCTGGCTTATCAAAAATATTTGATTAATACAAAGGAGAAGATTTCAATCAATTTATTAATTCTCAGTTTATAAGTAGACCCCCCCCCCCTCTATGGTATTCCTGACCCAGGGGCGTTGAAATTCACAATTCAGGAAGAATGGTCCTTGCTCATCATAGCTATATAGGTAGTTTATCTGCTTAATACCCAGGAGCAGAGAAAAAGATTTTCAAACAAATTCTGCATTTTCCCTATGTAACCAATAGAGCCCAGCCCTAACAACAGAACCCTTTACCCTGGGGTCATAAAATTCACAAAGGTATTCTTCCACATCATAACTATGTACTTAATAGTTAGTTTATTTAATACCCAGGAACAGAGAAGAAGATTTTTAAAGAAATAATGTATTTTCACTACATAATCAATAGAGCCACATCCTAAGACCAGAACCCTTAACCCTGGGGCCATAAAAATTTACAATTTTGGAAATGGCATTCTTGCTCATCATAACTATATACTTACTTAGTTTATTTAATAAATGTACTCAGGAGCAGAGAAGAAGATTTTCCAAGAATTAATGTATTTTCACTATATAATCAAAAGAGCCCCGCCCTGACACCAGAACCCCTGACCCTGGAGCCATAAAAGTCACAATTTTGAAATAGGCATTCTTGCTCATCATCACTATATACTTAGTTAATTCGTTCGTTGAATACCCAGCAGCAGAGTAGAAGATTTTCAAACAATTTCTGCATTTTCTCTATGTAATCAATAGAGCCCCGCCCTAACACCAGAACCTCTGACCCCGGGGCAATAAAATTCACAATTTTGGAAGAGGCATTCTTGTTCATCATAACTATATACTTCGTTAGTTTGTTCAATACCCAGCAGCAGAGAAGAAGATTTTCAAACAAATTCTGCATTTTCACTATATAATCAATAGAGCCCCCCAACACTAGAACCCCTGACCCTGGGGCCATGAAATTCACAATTTTGGAAGAGGCATTCTTTCTCATCATAAATATGTACTTGGTTAGTTTAATTAAATACACAGGAGCAGAGAAGAAGATTTTTAAAGAAATAATGCATTTTCACTATATAATCAATAGAGCCCCGCCCTAGCACTAGAACCCCTGACCCTGGGGCCATGAATATCACAATTTTGGTAGAGGACTCAATGGTCATTACATTCATGCCTACAGTTTGTCTGCTTGATGTCCAGGAGTAAAGAAGAAGATTTTTAAAGGTTGCACTAATTTTAGTGGTTTTGGCCCAACCCCTCGGGCCCCAGGGGAGCAAGGACCACGAAGTTCACAACTTTTGTTTTCCCCTTCACCCATAGATGCTTTATGTAGAATTTGGTGGAAATTGGTTGAGTGGTTGCAGAGAAGAAGCTGATAATGTTCAAATGTTAACACACGCCGAACGACGCACGACGACGGACGAAAACAGATATCAATAGGTCACCTGAGTTTACTCAGGTGACCTAAAAAAGAAAAATCCAAATCTATTTCATATTTTGACGACATGGTAACAGGTATCGGACGGCTTTTTTTTTCGATTGATACTTTTTTGATGACACGTAATATGATATGATATACTAGTAATTAATACGCGAGTTTCGAGATTGTATCTCTCCTACGATGGAGGTGCAAAAAGTATCCATTTCAGCATGGGAGGTGGGACAGGTTGCTTCTGTATACCATTGTATACAAACGTGCATGAATAAATGAACGATATTTATGGCTTTTAGAATTTATTAAATGTTATAGAAAGATAATGATGTTAAGCAGTGATGCATTTGATGAACTATGCATACTTGCAATTTTACTTTGAATTATAGGGTACTTGAAAACGAAAGAAACGTTGTACTCTTTATCGAAAGTAACCGATTTTCTTGATTGTACATTTTCTAAACAATTAGTGTTTTTTAAGAGTTATAATAAGGAAAAGAATCAATATGCAATTTAGATTGCCGACGTGCAATGATCAGATGCATGTATTTATTTGAGGTCTATATCTCTTCCCTCGTCTAAAAAGTCTCACATCCACTGATATTTTCTTTTTTGTTACGATTTTTTGCTTTAAAAATTTATATCTCTACATTAATTCGGTTACTCTCGAGTTGTAGAGTGCATCCTGACAATCATGAATTGACGATAAACCAGTAGATTATCTGTATCGATATATCCAATGTATAAATAATAAATATCTGTCCCATCTGTCTGTTTACGCGGCTACGAAACTCCCCTCCTCAACGAAAGAGCGCAACAAAGGAGATAATCTCGAAACTTGCGTATTCATAAAGTGTAGTTAATTAACATACCAAAAAATCTGCGCAAAATCTCTTCCCGCTTGGAATAAGACCATTATACCAAATCTTGTCCAAGAGACCAACTGAACACGGATGGGCAATAATATCATACATCTTAGATTCATATGCAAACGATTGAGGTTTTGCTTGGATAGTCCAGACTGTGTCTAATTCGTCCAAAATTTCAAAAGCAAGTACTTCGTCTGTCTGATAAAGATCGTCCATCATGCTTAAAACCCGGCTTCTAAAAACTCTACCAAAGGAGTAAACTGAGGTTAACTAGTTCGTATAAGCACAATCTGATCTATGATTATACAAATCCACAAGACACTATATATATATATATATATATATATATATATATATATATATATATATATATATATATATATATATATATATATATATATATATATATTCGTTAGTGATGTGTAACTTTACTCATCCTGAATGATGCAATGATAAATTAGTTTCATTTCTAAATTTTAATTGTCATTTATATATCTTGTATTTCGGCCATTTGATCATAGATAATAAAATTATTCTGTAACTTATTTAGTCATCATGACATTTCAATTTCTGTTGTCTTTTCATTTTGAATACAAGGCTTTATTATTCGACAACTGTACTAACAATTAACGCTAGAATATGTACAAGACATAATATAGATTATCTCTCCTTACTTTGACTGTTCCTTTAGCTTAACTGATAGCTTCTTATCCTTCAGTTTGGCTATGGAGGACATCTTTTGGAGAATTAATGCACTTACAAGTCCAGTATCTATATGTAAACATATAATTCATTAGATTGGAAACTTCAGATTTAACAACATCAGGCACAGGTCAATTCAATGCTAGAACTTTGCCGAAACATATTTGCAAATCAAGTGAAAAAACCATCAATATTTTCATTTTTGGTAGAAATCACACAATAAATAGGAGAGTTACAGTGAACGTACAGAGTTGATTGGCTACTCTCCGCCAGACCAGGGTAGCGATGTCCGTCCTACGAGTCAATAATGACCACAGAAGAACTGCTTGTAGGAGGTTTTGTCGATGCAGATATTCTTTTCTTCTCTGAGTCCTACAGTTTGTAAATAATCTAGGATCCTCAGTTTCTGTATTTAAAAAATTCAACATGTTGTGAAATCGCAATTAATGTTTTGAAAGCAGGGGACTATAAAATTTTCCTTAAACGTTGGATATACCCGGTATATATACGAGGTGGAAGGGGTCTAAAAGTCTTCTCTACATAAATGGATTATATAAAATGTGATCCTTTAGATGTTTCATTCTCACGATTGTTCATTTATTGAATAAATTTGAATCGAAACAACATGACAATGTTTTTATATAAATTTGATTTTGTACAAGTGTAGAACTCCTTGCATGTATATACGTTATCTCTTCTACTTTCGTTTCCATCATTTGTGTCAAGATGATTTTTAACGCTTAAATTATATTTTCTTTCAAAATATCACTTTTTAAGGTTGACAACAACTCACTCTTGTAATTCAGAAGTCTTTTACACATTTTCTGAGCAATTTTGTGGCAATCTGTTTCACCTTCAAAAAGATGCTTTGCTAGTTTTTCTTTCCCTTTCTCCATTTCCTACAGCATATAGTTACAGTGTGTATATAAATCTAGGGCAAGTTTTTGGATGAAAATTAGTATGACCTTGTACATTTGCATGCTGAATATTTACATCATTCATTCTAACAAATATATAACATATACTCATCTTAGCTTTGACAAAGTGAACTAGTAGCAATGTTATCTTTTTGTACTTATTAAACTTTTTACGTATCTCAAAGATAAATCCATCAAAATAGTACTGCTGGCATTTTTTCTTGTCCCAAGGCTTTTATTTTAAAAAGTTGTCATTAACAAGAAGCCTATGGGCTACAACGCTCATATGAGTCACAATGGTCCTGCAGCTCCTCATCAGCAGATTTTGTCTCTACACTATCTGAGGATACTTCAATATTCATATGACTAATCATGACTCTGCTGTTCTTGAGAATATCTTGAAAGATGTGGCCCCGACTTACCCCCACGGGTCAGGATTTGAACAGATTTACTACCTTTGGCTGCTTCTATTTAAACATGATTAGTCATGGCTTTCATATAGTCTTTTTCTCAAACCATGAAAACCATGCGGCTCTTAATTTGAAAAAAAATTGTCAATGAATTCCTTTTACCCAAGGGTGTAGACAGACAGACAAAATGTTATCAGAAAAGCCCACTTGAAATTTCAGCTCAGGCAAGCTAAAAAAACAATACCTTATGTTAAAGTCGTCATACAACGAACTAGACAAAATTTTACAAAATCACAATTTAAAAGTTAGCATATCAGATTTTACTTGCATATTTATCTTCAATATAAAAATGCATGCATCGAAAGTTTTAAGCAATAATTATTTTACCATTAAAACCCAGCTCATGCCTGACGAATCACTCTTTTCTGAAATGTCTGCAGACAGTGTATTCTGTAGTTTAGAAATGGATATCTTTTATATATTTCAAAATTAGTGTAAACAAAAAGAAAAGCATTCAAAAAGAACCTGAAAAGTACTCAAGTCAATTATATTCTCGACTGAACATGAAGAGGGTAAATACTTTCGATCAGCAATACATATCTGTGTAAAGAATAAATTGCCATAATGTCAGGAAAAAAATTCCTTGTTCTGTTCATAATGGGAAAGGGGCAGTTAGATTTTACAATATCTTAAACACAATATTTGAGCGCAATTGGGTACAATTTCTCCTTACACATATAAGTAGAAATCGATACAATACAGCAACCAGCAAAAGGAGAATAATGTACCTACTTGCACTCGTATATATTTCAAGGGCTTCAAAAAGCTGGGCGGGGCCAACATTTAATAGAAATTGGATGTAAACATGGTACCCCTACCCAAATTAAAGATATATAAAATTTTCAACATTACTTTTCTATTTTTAGTAAAATAGTAGTACCCGGTATCCCATTAGGGTACACAAAGGCATGCAAATATAAGAGTAAAATTTAGACATTCAATAGTTTGTCAATTTCCGGGGGGAGGGGGGGGGTGTATGGCGCATCATCCTTTAAAAACTATCTATCCGAAATGTAGAAGACATTTCGTATGATTACAACTTAATGAGGAGAAGTGGGTAAGTATTTCATGGAACATAACTCCAAACAAATTGTAGGGAATACAGTTTCTCGTGACTCATAAGTGTATGGTTTTAATCGATTAGTTTGATATAATTTTCTTGGTAAGACAGCATTTTTATAGGACCCAGTGTAGTACAAGGGGCATACCAACTGTGCTAACCATAACTGTGCAATGTCATAACAGAATCAAATTCTTTTAACGCAGAATACAAAGACGTTCAACAAGTTATAATTCAAGTACTTTCAATAATCTTAATCACTGTTCGAAGACATTTTGATTTTATCGATGTAAAAAAAGAGTGATCTTGAGAAGTCTTTTTGTGTATTTTTCCTACCTAGATTTTGTTATATGATATGCAAATGGATATTATAGCATATTTACCTTGTAGAGATTGTCAATTAGCATGGCTGCAGCATGTTCCGATATTGGAAGGTTCAAGTCCAGAAGGGCGTTTACGTAGTCTGTTCTGTTTGTAAGTAGAGCAGTCTTTAACAGGTCCTGTAAAAAAATAAAATTTAATTCATTAACAATTTTAAAAAATCTTAAATATGAAGAGACTAACTGGCAATACTGCTCATTTGATTGACACTGTAGACCCAGCAATTTATTTTTAAAAATAGCGACTTGATCTAAATTTGATATGAAGAACAAGGTTAATGGGGGAGTGGGGTTATTATATAGCAATCTCAATACATTCTATTTTATCAACAATGCTATTTTAAAGTAAACATGTCAAATTAAACAATACTACCTGTGCCTCAATCAACACCTTCTCTGAGGAAGGATTTTCCCTCTTTAGTTCTAGAAACTTAGAGAATCTGAAGAACAGGTCCAGCGGAAGTGAAAATGGTGACGAGAAGGTTGTAAAGCCAAGGGTTTCATGTTTTTTGGACATGTGCCAGGTTTTTTCCTCCCTTTGCCAATTCTCTTCCAATGCATAAGAACTGATACGGCTCTCTGCTTTGTTCTTCATATCTCTGGCTTGTTGTGCTACGAAATAAAAATTAGCCAATTAAAATGCACGTGCTCCGTATAAATTTAAGAAATGCAATACTATTTATAAAATGTACGGAAGCGAGTGGGTCCAAGGTAGAAAAATATCTCATCTGTCAGCCTCCACAAAGATATCTGGCGGCTGCATAAATGAATAGATCTGGCGGTCAACATATAAATATAACTGGTGACTGCCTGTTAACCTTCTGGCGGCTGCCAGAAAATTATCTTGCGGCAACCAGATAATTTTTTTCTACCTTGCATCACCGGCTTCCGTATAAATGAAACAGTACATCATTATACTTTCTTCTGTATTGTTTATATAGAGCTTATAATCAAATGAATTGTTAATACGTGGGTTTTTTGACTACCAAGTTTACAAGAACAGCTGTTTCCCTGTCAGTCCTGTAAACTTATTGCCATGCGATGCTTTTTCTCTCTGCTATATTATTACATTATGAAAACAGAAAAAATGCTGTAAGTTTACCACCCCTTAATCTTCTATGTTCACAAAAAAAAAACAAATCTACAATATTAAAGTAGTGCTTGTAAAGAAAGAATAATGAGATATACTCTCAGGTTTTTTTCTATTTTCAACGCGTAATTATAACAGTTACATTTTGTCAATCAAATAATATTTCCATTTCTATTTTTTTTTTCTCTCTGTGATAACTCTGAGAAAGTTAGAGTTTATTTCTTGATAGTTCTATCGGAATGCAAATTAGGCAAATCGATAGGTCAGGGGCTAAGAAGGCCAAAATATGCACATTAGTATCGTTGTTGCCCTGGCATACTATGCTAACTAGACAGTGATTCCTTAAATAAAATAATTTTCTCTTAATTATTGAAACAAGAAAGGAATCTCTTTTTTTAAAAAAACCCATAAATTAAAAAACATAGAGAGCCATACAATAATTTGCACATGGTGTGTCGTATGTTTCGTTTATGGTATGTGATGTGTCGTTCTTAATGGCACATTATAATAATATTGCTTAATTAGACCTTTGTTCTTATGCTGTTTCGAGGATTCTGCGTTTTCTAGAAGCCATGATTTCTGTACCAGCTCCCCTACAGTGGAGGCAAACTCTTCTTCATTCTTTTCAAGAAGGTCGAAAACACCAACCTAAAAATTTAATTGCATTCCTAAATACTTCGAAAGAATTTTCTATTGAGGAGTAAAAGGAGTATTTGTACAAATGAAACAAAATGATCCAGTTCCTTTCTTGGCATTGCTAGAATTTCTTAATGATTTTTCAATGTATTGTACTTAAGTGTGAAATTTATGGAAAATACCAGAAAATTGTAATAAATAAAATGTAGATTTCGTTCATTTATATTAGAGACTGAACCATAGAAAAAGTGATTGAAAACAATTTTCTTACTAGGTAAGGTCTTTCTAAAATAGCGTTCAAACTAGCTTCCAGTTCCTCAATCTCTTTGTCACCAAGTTGAATCCCAAATAGAGTTGGGAGCAGTGTCCTTAATTCTAAAGCGCTTGCATCTTTCGGCTGTTGTCTGAATAGATTATTTCTGATAAATATATAACTGTTTAACGTTGCAAATACTATTTACAATAATCTGCCATTTGAAGCATTTAGTACATTTATTGGTTCTTGCGTTGCGTATGATCTAACTTTGTACATTATTGTCTGACAGAAAGATAAGTTACATGTAATAGAGATACTATATACATGTAATCTTCCGCATTCCTTGGGCCAAACTATCGTAGTGCTTTTTTTTCCTATATTATTAATTTAAATCAAGCACAGTTCAGAGCTTTAGTGTATATCGTTGGTAAACCTTTCGAGATGGAAACTGTAGGAATTAAATTGATATTTGTCTTTTTTAAAGCAAGCTATTGGCAAGCAAATTGATGAAACAGGGATATCAAACATTTCGTTCAAAGTCAAGATTTCGCAATTTCTATGGTCGATACAATGACCTTATTAGCAAAAAAAAATCTATTATGAAGATGAATGCTGAATGACGTTTTACATACTAAATGTTAGGCCATTAATTACACACTGAATTTCTAAGGAATTTTCCATGCTCCAGGCCATTAATTAAACACTAAATTTCTAAGGATTTTTTCCATGCTTTTGATCATGAGAAGGTGCAGACAGTAAATTTGACCGGTCGGAAGGGAATTATTTCTCGTCTATGGCACCTGATCCCACCTCTGATCTTTTTGAGGTCCGTGTTTGCTCTTCTCCTGATCTGTATTTTTTCCATGGAATTTTACGCTTGACAATTACTGTTCGTTATCTCCAAATTCTCTGAAACACGAAGCAATAAAAATGTTTGGATGAATTCATTATTACAGTAGTCATTATCAAATTTTGACATACTCTTACAATTAGGTTGTTTTCATAACTTAAGATAGAAAAAGATAACGTATCGTAGGATATTTGATTTATGTTTCATTTCCATAGATTTAAAAAAGAATGGACACCATGTGTAAAAATCTGAAGTATCTTATTAATATTTTACTAAAAGATTAATTCGACAAAGAGGTGAAACGCGATTATATAATACATGTACATGACAGGATTGTAGTATCCTCTATAGATGGTTGTTTTAAATTATTTATACATGAAGTAACATGTTTGATTCTACATGTATGTAAAAGTATATGCATGTCAACACGAGACCTGCACTTCATATGAAGATCACATGCTATGCTATTTCAGATTAAATTTAATGATTTTTAGATGATTTTCATTCTGAAGACAGTGCATGTTTTTAAATGTAAATTACATAGAAATGGACATTAGATCCGCCAACCCGCCTGTTCCTTTGACAAACAAGACTGGTATTCCATTCCCAATGGCTAGTTTTACATGATCCACAACTGACAAATCTCCCTCCACTAGAATTACAACTAGGGCATTTCTCTCTGAAATCAACAACAATAAGTTTATACATAAATGCATATGACATCAACACGATCACTACTTATCTGAAGAAAACATTAAACCTGAGGGGCAGTGTAAAGGCAGTATGTTTTTAAATATGAACCATAGTAACATCTTTCAATTTAATGATTCGTCATTCAATCAGTCATTCACTCAATGATTAAATTTAGAACTAAACCCAATAGAGAAATAGCTCACTATATGACTACAGTTAATGTGTTCCATCTTGCTAATATAATGACTCTCAAGATGAATGCTATTACAAACTAGAGGTACTGTGAGCAATGAGCTCACTAAATGATACCCCCCGCCTCCCATAATGTCCATGTGTTGCTATAAATATTGTTTTACAGTAACGTGTAAAGAGGAATAACTCGTCCTATCAAATGTTATCCAGAAGCTTCTATTATGTGACGTCATAGGTAAACAAAAAATGGCAATGTCCATGTTTTGCAATAGGAAACCTAAAATACGTGTCGAATAAAAAATTAAAATAGGAGGTGCACAATGGCAATATGTAATAAAGATTCTGTGAAAGTTTCATTAAATTTCACTCAGTAGTATAAGAGGAGTTGCGGATAAGAGAAAAAAGCGTAACAGACGGACGGACGGACGGAATCCCGATAACTATATACCCTCCCGCTTTTCAAGCGGGGGGGTATAATAATAATTTATGATCCCATTAAAATATTTTAATAATTATCTCAATCTCTCGGGTATCAGGTTATTGAACTATTACTGTAACAAAAATATTTTTAAAAAATCATATCTTCTTTAAACCTGAACTTGAGGTAGAGATCTCTTCTCATACCTTAACTCACTCATATCTTAACTCTCTCATTCCTTAATTCACTCATATCTTAACTCTCTCATACCTTAACTCACTCATATCTCAACTCTCTCATACCTTAACTCACTCATATCTTAACTCTCTGATATTTTAACTCTCTCATATCTTAACTCGATGTAAGGATGTTATTTTATTTCCTATTCTCTCTCACTTAAACCTTAATTCAAGTAAAGATGTTAGCTTTGTCTGTCGGTCTCCCAAGTTCTCTCTAGTTCAAACCTAAACTTATGTAAATAAGTTAGTCTCTCCAAAGTTCTCTTTAATTTAAACCTAAACTCAAGTAAAACTAGAGGTACTGTGAGCGATGAGCTCACTAAATGATACCCCCCGCCTCCCATATGGTTATAACTGGTGAAAAAGTCCATGTTTTCCTGTGGCTGGGAAACCCAATATATGTGCCGGATCAAAAAGTAAAATAGGAGGTGCACAATGGCAATATGTAATAAAGATTCTGTGAAAGTTTCATCAAATTTCATTCAGTGGTATGAGAGGAGTTGCGGATAAGAGATGGGTACCCCAAAGCGTAACAGACGGACGGACGGACAGACAGACGGACGGACGGACGGACGGACGGACGTACAGACGGACGGAATTAACGATTACTATATACCCTCCTGCTTTTCAAGCGGGGGGTATAAATATGTTACCTTTGTCTGGCGATGTCTCCTAAGTTCTCTCTAAATCAAACCTTAACTCTGGTAAGTATGATACCTTTATCAGTGGGTCTCTCTAAAGTTTCCTCCAGTTTAATTCTGAACTCAAGGTAATCTTCAACTTCTGAGGGGACAGGGAGATTTATGAAATTACTGTCATACTGATGTGTCTGAAACGTTAACAAAAAACCATACAAAGTTGTAAGTTGATTACAAGTTATGATTTAACAAGAGGCCCATGGGCCTTATTGGTCACTTGAGCATCATGTAATACCATTCCCAACAGTTGAATTTGGTACGTGTTTTAAACCAAGAGCCAAGAAATTCACAATTTTGAGATAAACACCATTGCTTATCATAACTATACGCTTAGCATGCTTACTCTGGTTACCTAATACCCAGAGGTTAATCAGAGTAACAAAGAGAACATGCATTTAAATTTTGTCTTTACAAACCAACTGTGCACCCCACCGTACAGGAACCACTGACACTGGGGTCACATATTTCAAAATTTTGGAAATTAAAGCATTAATTTATCTTTAGACTATGTAACCACCCAACTCCCATGCATTATTGGCATTATGCATAGAAGCAAAGAAAAATACTTTCAAGGAATTTTCATGTATTTTCACTATATACATATGTAAACATTAGAGTCCCGCCCTAACACCAGAGCCCATGACCCATGAAAATCACACATTTGGAAGAGGCATCTTCCTCAATATAACTATGTACATAGTTTATTGGTTTAATACCCAGGAGCAGAGAAGAAGAATTTCAACGAGTTTATGCATTTTCACTATCTAATCAATAGAGCCCCTCCCTAATACCAGAACCTCTGAACCTGGACAATTTTGGATTCAAGTACAAATCCACGTAAGTGTCAGGCAGGTAGTACTAATTAGGCGGTAAAGTGAAAATCAGCAAATTCATTAAATCTGATTTTAATGTATTCATTTGGGTCTAAAATAAAATATGTACTTTGATCATTGACATTAGCCTATACCCAGAAGCAAAGAAAAAGACTTTCAAGGAATTTATGCAATTTAACTATATAATCAATAGAGTCCCGCCCTAACATCAGAACCCCTGACCCTTGGGCCATGAAATTTACAATTTTGAAAGAGGTATTCTTCTCATTACAACTATGTACTTGGTATTACTACTACTAGTTTGTTTAAAACCTAGGAGCTGAGAAAGTTTTTAAAGAATTTATTTACTGCATTTTCATTATATAATCAGTAGAACCCCGCCCTAGCACCAGAACCCCCGACCCAGGGGCCATGAAATTCACAATTTTCTGGAAGAGATATTCTTGCTCATCATAACTATGTACTTGGTTAGTTTATTCAGGAGTTTACCCAGGAGCAGAGAAGAATATTTTCAAATAAATAATGCATTTTTACTATATACTCTATTTAGCCCCGCCCTTGCACTAGAACTCCTGACCCTGTGCTCATGAATTTCACAATTTTTGTAGAGGACTCAATACTGAATTCAGTCATGCTAACAGTTTGACTGCTTGATGTCCAGGAGTAATGGAGAAGATTTTTAAAGATTACATTAATTTTAGTGGTTTTGGCCCCAGCCCTCAGGCCCCTGGGAATTCACAATTTTGTTTTTCCTTCACCCATATATGCTTTATGCCAAAACTGGTTGAAATTGGTTCAGCGGTTGCAGGAAAGAAGCTGAAAATGTTACCGCACAACGCATGACGTTGGACGAAAAAAGGATAGCAATAGGTCACCTTAAGGTGACCTACCAATGAATCGATATTTAAGTAAGTAAATACAGCCCAGTACAGTAGACAGTCGAATTATAAAAATATATACTAGTATACAGCATATAGTTTCAAAACAAAGTTACTTTAACAGTTAAACATCAGACCAATATGTTTTTTTTTTCAACTAAAAAAAAAGATGAAGATAAGTAACGGTGTTCAAACAATACATAAAACACAGATTTGGATATTGCAGAAGTGAAAAAATCTTGGTTCCTACGTTTTCCTTTGCTTTGTGGAGGAGACTGTCTTCAAGAACATGGTTTTATTACTTTCATGTACTATTCAGATTTAGCTTACGAACTACAGTACTGCGGCAACTTTAAAATATTTATTTAAACATTTGGTAAGCGACATCTTTTTAAGCTTTATGACTACTAGTATACTACATGTATATGCCGAAGATATCATTTTCCATTGTATTTTATAAATCTATGTTTTATTAAAACGATGATGAAAATAAATTTCTTCGATGAAAGAGAAAAAATTATTTATTGTAAACACTTAATTCAAAAGCATTTCAAAACAGATGAATATGACGAAGCCAAAAGATAATCACTTAATTGAAACAAAACTATAAAAGACTGGGATGAAGCTTTTAAAGACGTCTTGGACAATACCTGGTTCTTTTTGTCCCGGTCTCCATCATCTTCTAGAGCCTCTGGTAAATCGAAATACAGACTTGTGTCCTCAACAGGTCTAGAAGGGACGGAGATCAGTCGGAGGGATTTACTGGCAGCCTTATCTAGGTAGATGTACTCTTCCATCATCTCACGGATAATTTTAGAGACCGTCAGGGGCTCTCCTTTGCTGAGTATCCAACACTCTTTAAATTTCAGTGTAAAATTAGATAGAAATTCGCTCTTTCAAATGTCTTGTTTTGACTCTTTTTTTATATTTACTAGTTACCAAATGACCCAAGGCATACATGTATTCAACCATGTTATGTACGAAAATGTACTAAAAAACAGCACAGCATACAAGGTATATATTGGAATTTTAAACAAAAATATAAATTTACCTCCAGCAGCCTTTGCTGCGTAGATCAAGGATTGCTGAAAGCGAGATTTTGGCCACGGCTTTGGGATCAAATTGTCCGAGTCCCCAATGACGGAGAAAATCATGTTTGGACGTGGGACCCTCCCATAGAAATCCATAATATAAGTAAGCGTCTTTTCCCCCTCTTCTTCCTCCATTTCCTTCGGAGTACTATACCTATCAAAGATAAATAAATTGAATTGAAATTCTTGCTTATGCTATTGTTATTATTCAAAATAGTGCTCTTGTTTCTAGCTCACTTGAGCTAAAGATTTAAGTGAGATCTACTGATAAAAAATTTCATGCGTCCGTTAACATAACATTTCGACTTCCTTGTCAGAAACACAAGGCCCAGTTCAACCAAACTTGGCACATGGCATCATTGAATTTAAGTAATTAAAGTTTTTTAAAAGGAAAGTAAACACTTTTTTGAAAGGAGAAATATACAAGGGAAGGCGACAATATAGGTTGGATGTCACGACAATATTTTTATATTAAAATTAATCTTAAAATGGACTCTGATAGAAAAATTCATCGAGCAACCAAATAGTTTTCCAAAATATAAAAAACAAGAAGTCGGTATTGGCTCACTAGTAAATACCCCCGCTCTGATGTGAATATACACCATCATGTTAATCTACACAAAATCAATTACGGGCAAAGATAAATATGAAGTTGACATCAAATTCACATAAAAATAAATCCAACCATATGGCCTGCCTCAACAACTTATGTGGGATGAGTAGTTGCTGAAAAACTGCTACAAAAATTGGTATGTATAAAACGGGCAAATGCACAGACAAACAGGAAAAAAGAATCCCACTATATGGCATGACTCAGAGAAGATTATGTTCAAATTTCAAGCACCTGCAATGAGCAGTTGCTAAGAAAACTGCGACGACAATTTGTTACGGACAGGCGGACGGACACAAAAGGGTAAAAAATCAGTATACCCCCTCTCCTTCGAAGCGGGGGTATAAAAATTAATAGGAGTATTACAGAACCAGACAGGAAGAATATTTCCTTTTACGTAATAGCAAAACTTATTTGCAATCTTTTAATTATAAATTAATTCATAGATAAAAAGTACATGATGATATTTAATATAGATAAAATAATCACTCTTATGTAAAACGACTGCAAGGAAATGGCACAGTAGAACACAGGTTTATTTTCGCAAAAGTTCAAAAGTATTTTGGAATAAATTTTTGAACTGATGGAATAGTTTTTATTTTATCCCAATGTTTTCTATTACTATGGGATATTTGGAATTGGTACAAGTACTTATAACAAGCCACTAAATTACTGTACTGTGGAATCATCAATGTTCATAAGGGACCAACGTTCGAGGACCTCGTTGATCACTCTTATCCACGAATTTACCCAGAGACCTTGTAATACATGTTTAGCAAAAGGCACCTTTCTTCATCATAACTATGTAATTAGATCCTTGGCATAATACCCAGGAGCAGAGGAGAAGATTTTCCAAGAAATGCATTTTCACTTCATAATCAATGGAACCCTACCCTAACACCTCGAACCTCTGACCTATGGCCATGAAATTCACAATTTTGGAAAAGGTACCCTTCCTCATCATAACTTTGTACATTGTTCATTGGTTTAAAATCCAGGAGCAGAGGAGAAGATTCACAAAGAGTTCATCCATTTTCACTATATGATCATAAAAGGCCCACCCTTACACCAGAACCCCTGAGCCAGGAACCTTGAAATTCACATTTTGTAAAAGGCACCTTCTTCATCTTAACTATGAACATATGGATGTACATATGTAATTATATCATTGGCATATTAACCAAGAGCAGAGGAGAAGATTTTCCAAGAATTAATGCATTTTCACTATATAATCACTAGAGCCCCGCCCTAACACCAGAAGCATGGAATATTACCCAGGAACAGAGAAGATTTTGCAAAAATTAATGCATTTCCACTATGTAATCACTAGAACCCCGCCCTAACACCAGAACCCCTGATTCAGGGGCCATAAATTTCACAATTTTGGTAAAAGCTCAATACTAATTATAATCATGCCAACAGTTTGACAGCTTGATATCCAGGAGTGAAGAAGAAGATTTTGAGAAATTGCATTTATTTTGATTGTTTTAGCCCCAACCTCCTAGAACAAGGGGGGCACGGAACACTAAATTCACAATTTGTACTCCCTTCCACCAAAACATGCTACATGTCAAAATTGGTTGAAATTGATTAAGTGGTTTCAGAGAAGAGGCTGAATTTTTTTTAATGTTAACACACAATGCACGACGGACGTATTGACGGGGTTGGAAATTGCATGTGAACGCTCAGGGAAAAGTATATTCGTTCTCAATGTTTTTTTCCGATCGAAGAAGATTGAGATGAATACATATAATTTAAGACCCTTTTTAAGATAAATATAGTTATTCTGTTTTTTAAAAATTGTTTTAATCAATCTCCACAATATGTAAGAGATGAAAGAATATTGTCACGTGATCAGGAAATGAACGAAAAACAGCTTTTGGTTTTTCTGTTCAAGTGGGATTTGCAATCCTTGTCCGCAGGATACAACTTATTGAGCAAGGAAATAAAAGAAAAGGAACATATACAACTTTTCAAGTATATTAAATATCATTTTGTTAAAGACGTTTTGATGCTAAAAAGCATCTGTTATCAGTCTGTGGTCTTATATGCATTAAATTTGGAAACACAACAAAAATACAGGATTCCATGCTTAACAGCCAAAAAAACTTCTTTTTTCTTGGGTGTGACCGGTTGGCAGGGGATACACAATCCTCCATGACACCTGATCCCATCCCTAGTGTTTAGAGGTCCGTGTTTACTCTACTCCAACCTCTCTATTGACTTTTGAGCTTGAATACTGTTCGTTAGCTTGAATACTGTTCGTTATCTTCATATATTTCATCTCAAAATATTTCATTTCAAACGGGAAGCTATATGACATACGTAGATTTTGTCATTTTATGGCAGAATAAAGAATCATATACCTTCTGAGTACATGTTGAAGTTTGCAGATAAAACACTGATCTTATCATTATTGAAGTGAATGTACCTCAAGATTTTAAATCAGCATTTTCTTCATTACACTAATCCCGTTCTTAAGGAAGTATATAGTAAAATGTGATAATTATTGTTGAAATTGCTTTTGATATAAATTATAAAAAACAATTTTTTTTAACCCAGCCGTTTGAAAGTTTATCCATTAATGGGGGAATTGATAGCTTAAAGAGAAAACCTTAATGTTGAACAAGTTGAGTTTGCTTCACTACAGTAAATACTTACATGTACTTCGTGTCAGCCATGTAGACAGATAGTTTTAAATGGATCGATGTCACATGTTAATATCTGTCTTTCCTCCAATAAAAATGTACTGTGTTGGAAGGAAGCAAGCTACCGCTTGATTGTTTTCTTGATTAGTGATGTAATCGCAAAATCAAAAAAAAATCAGTGCTTTTAAAGAAGGAGTGGATAGCAGTTTGAATCTCTGTGTTCAAAAGGTAAAATCTAAAAAAAAAAAAAAAAAAAAACAGAACATATCACATCTACCCTAATGTTAAGTCATTTAAAACTCACTTTACTCTTAAATTTACTTTGTAACTTATCAGTCTATGCCTTTGTTCCCTTATATTTTTTGTAGTACTTATGTTCGCGCTTTCTTAGGTTAAAATGTTTTTGTTACCTTTTATTTACATGAAAGTATCCTAATACTTGTATAATTATATGACTTGAAAATCTAATTTCCCCTTGTTTGTCACTTATCAGTCCGTGTATGTCTTTAATTTGTTTCTTTATATTTTGTAGTGCTTATGTTCGCGCTTTCTTGCGTTAAAAACATTAGGATATAAAATAAAAAAAACTACGTTATCGTAATTAATAAGACAGTTTGTACAGGCTTTCACAATTTGCAGTACATGTTAAGCAAATATTACACAAACCATATACTATTTATGCCACAACAGTTACTCTATTGGATGAAGAAGTGTTTGAGGCAAGGCGTATTATGACCAATTCCGACACGAGTCTGAGACAAGTATAAAACACCACAACAGAACAGGAGAGTCCAAAAAGCAGATGATAGCAGAAACAATTAGCTATAACAAAATTCTAGGTAAGATTATTTTCATGTACCATTTCTATAAAATTGAGGAACTCAGATGCCCTTGCTTATGGATTTGTAATTCTTTATAGCATTGATTTCTAATGCAATACTCATTTTCTTGATATTTTTTCTACCACCATGGTCGACCGCGGGCACATGGCGCTGTGATTAAATCGTCTGCTTTAGGTCACGGAATAAGGAGTTGATCATTACATCGCGGGTTCGAATCCCACTGTGGTACGTGGAGACCAGTCCTTCGGATGACACCGTATAAACCGAAGTACCGTGTCGCAGTAGGTGCTGGCACGAAAAAGATCCCTCACTGCTCAATGGCCCTGTGTCATAATTTGTAGCTCTCCATTGGCAAGTGGTGGCGTCTCCATTTTAGTGAAAAATTCTCGAGAGGGACTTAACAACATATAATCAATCAATCTACCAAAATGATTCTCAGTTTAATACATATAATTTAGATTCATAATGTATTCTTACTTTTCAGGGACCCCCCACCCCCCCCCACCCCACCCCCCAAAAAAAGCATAGAAGAGACAAAAGGAAAAACGGGTATATGTGCAGCTTTAAAGCTATGATCATGAGCGCCCATTTTATTTGATCTGTTGATAATAATTTGTAACAATGTAAGATTTCCATGGTAATATATTTTATTTAACGAGAGTTACTTTAATAAAACTTTAAAAAATAATACACTGAAGAATGTATTTATCTTCACCACCTAATAAAGGAAGCGACAATTTTTAGGTAATCTTACGGTAAACCTGCGTTGAGTAGTTGCTAAGAAAACTGCGACGGCAATTTGTTACGGACAGGCGGACGGACACACAAGGGTAAATCAGTATACCCCCTCTGCTTCAAAGCGTGGGTATAAAAATTAATAGGAGTGTCACAGAACCAGGCAGGAAGAATATTTCCTTTTACGTAATAGCAACACTTATTTGCAATCTTTTAATTATAGGAATGTGAAGGAAAGGAAGCAAGCTACCGCTTGATTCTTTCCTTGATTAGTGATTTAATCGCAAAATCAAAAAAATTCTGTATCATCTTTTAAAGAAGGAGTGGATAGTAGTTTGAATCTCAGTGTTCAAAAGGTAAAAAAAAAAAACAGAACATATCACATCTACCCTAATGTTAGGTCATTACAAACTCACTTTACTCCTAAACTTCCCTTGTTTGTCAATTATCAGTCAGTGTATGCCTTTAATATGTTCCTTTATATTTTTAGCTCACTTGAGCCGAAGGCTCAAGTGAGCTTTTCTGATCACATATTGTCCGTCCGTCCGTCTGTAAACTTTTCACATTTTCGACTTCTTCTCAAGAACCAATGGACCAATTTTGACCAAACTTGGTACAAAGCATCCTTTGGTGAAGGGGAGTTTAAATTGTTAAAATGAAGGGCCAAATCTCCTTACAAGGGGGGATAATCAAGAAAAGACAAAAATAGGGTGGGGTCACTAAAAAATCTACTCAAGAACCACTGGGCCAGGAAAGCTGAAACTTATGTGGAAGCATCCTTGGGTAGTGTAGATATTAAATTAAAATCATGACCCCCGGGGGTAGGGCGGGGCCACAATAGAGAATCCAATTTTTACATAGAAATATATAGAACAAATCTTTAAAAATCATCTTCTCAAGAACCACTGGGCCAGGAAAGCTGAAACTTATGTGGAAGCATCCTTGGGAAGTGTAGATATTAAATTGTTAAAATCAAGAACCCCGGGGGTAGGGCGGGGCCACAATAGGAAATCCAAATTTACAGAGAAATATATAGAACAAATCTTCTTCTCAAGAACCACTGGGCCAGGAAAGCTGAAATTTATGTGGAAGCATCCTGGGGTAGTGTAAATATAAAATACTTAAAATCATGACCCCTTGGGGTAGGGTGGGGCCACAATAGGAAATCCAATTTTACATAGAAATATATAGAACAAATACTTAAAAATCTCCTTCTCAAGAACCACTGGGCCAGGAAAGCTGAAATTATATGGAAGCATCCTTGGGTAGCGTAGATATTATATTGTTAAAATCATGACCCTCGGGGGCAGGGCGGGGCCACAATAGGAAATCCAAGTTTTACATAGAAATATATAGAACAAATCTTTAAAAATCTTCTTCTCAAGAACCACTGGGCCAGGAAAGCTGAAAATTATATGGAAGCATCCTTGGGTACTGTAGATATTAAATTCTTAAAATCATAAAAGGGAAGGGGGTAGTGGGGCATGATAGGTATAGCAAGAGGGGGAATCTGGTAAGAACTGCATCACCCAAGTTACTCAATTGAGCGATGTGGCCCATGGGCCTCTTTTTTGTAGTACTTATGTTCACGCTTTCTTAGGTTAAAATGTTTTTGTTACCTTTTATTTACATGCCTTCAATTTGTTCCTTTATATTTTTTGTAGTGCTTACTGTATGTTCGCGCTTTCTTACTTATGTTAAATGTTTTTTGGGTTTTTTTTACGTTTTATTTATATGAAAGTGTCCCAAATACTTGTATATATGAATTGAAAATGCCAAGGTGGGGTGGTATTTTTGTTTAAAAGACATTAGGATAATAAAACAAAAAAAACTACGTTATAGTAATTAATAAGACAGTTTGCACAGGCTTTCACAATTTGCAGTACATGTTAAGCAAATATTATACAAACCATACTCTTCATGCCACTACAATTACTCTATTGGATGAAGAAGTGTTTGAGGAAAGAATCTGAGACAAGTATAAAACACCACAACAGAACAGGAGAGTCCAAAAAGTAGATGATCGCAGAAACAATTGGCTATAACAAAATTCTAGGTAAGATTATTTTCATGTACCATTTCTATAAAATTGAGGAACTCAGATGCCCTTGCTTATGGATTTGTAATTCCTTATAATATTGATTTCTAATGCAATACTCATTTTCTTGATATTTTTTCTGCCACCATGGTCGCCCGCGGGCACGTGACGCTGCGATTAAATCGTCTGATTTAGGTCACAAAATAAGGAGTTGATCGTTACATCGCAGGTTGGAATCTTACTGTCGGACGTGGAGACCGGTCCTTCGGATGACACCATGTAAACCAAGTACCGTGTCGCAGTAGGTGCTGGCACGAAAAAGATCCCTCACTGCTCAATGGTCCTGAGTCATAATTTGTATCTCTCCATCGGCAAGCGGTGGAGTCTCCATATGAGTGAAAAATTCTCGAGAGGGACTTAACAACATATAATCAATCAATCTACCAAAATGATTCTCAGTTTATTAAATATAATTTAGATTCAGAATGTATTCTTACTTTTCAGGGACCCCCACTCCACCCCAAAAAAAAGCATAGAAGAGACAAAAGGAAAAACGGGTATATGTGCAGCTTTAAAGCTATGATCATGAGCGCCCATTTTATTTGATCTGTTGATAATAATTTGTAAAAATGTAAGATTTCCATGGTAATGTATTTTATTTAATGAGGGTTACTTTAATAAAACTTTAAAAATAGTACACTGAAGAATGTATCTTCACCACCTAATAAAGGAAGCGACAATTTTTAGGTAATCTTACGTCTGCAGGCTTTGTTTTATTCAAGTGCAGAAATTGTATATATCTTTAAAGTCATTTTGTACCAGAACTACTAAATATGATTAATATATGCATGATTTGCTTTACTTCCAATGTAGGTCAGGATGAAGAGAATCTTCTGCCGTTTTGCAGGTGACGGAATTTCAGACACGAATCTGTTAGAGCTCACTCTCTCACAAGTGCTTTTCTCCAGACTATCCTTCTATAATCTGCTTCATCGAACCGTATTAGCAGCAGCTCCAACCATATTCACAGACAACACTGCAAATGCTAACTTTAGACCAGATATGGTTTATAAACATGTAGAAGAGATTCACATGTATTATCACTATAACAATATCACACCTTCTTATACATGTACATGTATTTCACAGTGATGTTCATGTAAATACATACAAATTTACCTACTTGTAAAATCTTGTTTGTTTGATCTTTCTGTGAGAATTTTTCACATTTTGATTGAAAAAAAGATTAAAAGGTCACGGTATTATGTTTAAATCATATAGGGATAATTTACAATGATTAGAATGCATAAAGGTAGGAAACAGTATACAATTGTGAACATTAAATAATTTTTTCCTTTGGTATACATGTATTTAAAAAATTAAACTCGTGCCAAAATAAACAAGACGTGTTTCTGAAACACTGATCCCTTCCT